TATTTTTCCAGTTCATGAGGACCGTTTTCTTGGCGATGCATAGGGCAGTAAAAACCATGTGGACTGTATTAGTTTCTGTAGTGACATCATCCAATTTGCCCAACAAGCACACTAAAGGGGAGGTTGGAATTTTACATTTCAGACACTTTGATAAGTCTTCACATATCTCGCGCCAAAACTTCTGCACTGGTGGACAGAACCAAAGAGCGTGGATGTAATTGTCTGGTGTATTGCCTTGACAGTGTGAGCAGTTGTTGGAAGATGTAAAGCCCATCTTGAACATCCGATGACCTGTATAGTGCACTCTATGTAGTATTTTGTATTGTATTAATTGCAGACTGGGATTTTTAATCAATTTAAAGGTTTTTAAGCATACCTGAGACCAGAAGTTTTGGTCTAAGCTGACTGATAAATCTGCTTCCCACTTTGCAATAGGAAGGGATATTGATTCATCTAATTTAGAAAGTGTTCTGTATATTTTAGATAATAATTTGGGGGATTTAAGAGTAAGGAAATGTGCCGCACTTGGTGGTGTTTGTAATTCAACTTGACTGAGGTTAAATTTCTTTTTTACTATGGATTTAATTTGTTGATATTCTAAAAATCTTTTCTTGTTGATCCCATATTGTGCAACTAGTCTGTCAAATGGAATAAATTCTGTTCCCTCTAATATATGTTCTAAGTATTTAATTCCTTTACAACTCCATTCTGGGAAATTAATCATATTATTGTTTTGTAATATGTCAGGGTTATTCCAGATAGGTGTACGTTTGCATGGGATTAATGAAGACTCCGTTATTTTTAGAAACTCCCACCATGCTGTCAGAGAAAAGCTGATGTTGATACTTTTAAAGCATTCATGTCTTTTGATGTTTGAGCTAATAAATGGTAGGTCTGAAATCTCTAGATCCTTGCATAGTGCCTGTTCAACATCTAGCCAGGGCTCAACTAAGAAGGTATGTTTTAACCATTCTGAGATGAACTGAAGCCTGTTGGCTAAGAAGTATTGGTGAAAATTAGGCAGATCTACTTATCCTTGGTTCTTTGTAGCGTTTTTAAGCTGATACGCGGGGGTTTATCTTTCCAAAGGAATTTGGAAATATATGAATCCAGAGATCTGAACCAATCTTGTGATGGTTTGTTAGGGATCATCAAAAATAAGTAATTTATTTTTGGCAAGATCATCATTTTTATAGTGGCGACCCTTCCCATGAGTGATATGGGTAAAGATTTCCATCTAGTCAGATCGCCTTCTACTTTCTTTAGAAGTGGGATGTGGTTTAATTAGCATCACCACCTGGTATGGCAACAGCACCGCTACAACTGCAAAGCTCTCCAGCGAGTAGTGCGGTGCTCTGAACGGATAATTGGAGGTGAGCTTCCCTCCCTCCAAGACATCTACAGGAAGCGGTGCCTGAGGAAAGCGGGGAGGATCATCAAGGACTCCAGTCACCCCAGCCATAAACTGTTCAGACTACTTCCATCAGGAAGGAGGTTCTGCAGCATCCGGTCCCGTACCAGCAGACTGAGAGACAGCTTCTTCCACCAGGCCATCAGACTGCTGAACACGTCATAGACACCTCACTTCACTACTGGAACTTTCAACATTATGCACTCCATACTGTACAGTAATGCCACTGTTTTGCACATGTCTCAACTCTGTATATTTTTATATATTTTATTTATTGTTTACTCTATTTAATTTGTAAAATATGTGTAACACACACACACACACACACACACACACGTAGAAAAATATTTAGTATACACATCCAGAAATGCATATACTATTATATATTGTACATATATTTATTAGTTTCAGATGTAGCCATTCTTGTATTTTGCACAACTCTGTTGCTTGTGAAGCTCGCACACAAGAATTTCACTCACATGTACTGTACCAATGTACCTGCACATGTGATGTGACAATAAAAGTGATTTGATTTGATTTAATTTAGTTAAGTCTGAAAGCTTAGGAGAAACATTAATACCTAAATATTTAATATTTCCAGGATTGCAGTGGGGCAGAGGAAGAATTATGGAAGGAGCAGTTAATGGGAGAACTGTAGATTTTGGCCAGTTAATTGAATAATCTGAAACTCTTGAAAACCAGTTTATTAGAGTAATTACCTCAGAGAGGTTGGTTTGTGTGTTTTGCAGAAAAAGCAACACATCATCCGCATAGAGACTGATTTTATGTTCTATGTTCTTACATTTTATGCCCTTAATTGTTGTAGCCTGTCTAAATGCTGCTAGAGGTTCGATAAAAATTGCAAAAAGTGAAGGGGAGAGTGGTTCCTTGAATTAAGTGATACACCTAAACTGCAGCTCCAGACTTTTGTTCTTTTTGCCTAAAACAAAGACCGCAATGTCTCTGTGAAATACCTCAGCAGCTTTTAAATTACTGCAAGCCCAAATCTGTGAGAGGAGAACATGTACATTTTTTTGGTTTGTTTTTGTTTGGTTTGTTTGGCCAAGCTTGTCAAATCCATCACATTTCAAGTACAGAGTACAATCAGATTTGTTTTGACTCTCACTGCCAAACTTTCTTTTCAGGTTGACGGGTTACCACAACTCTTCCCAGTAAACAAAAAACTTATGAATACATGTGGCTTTTGTTTGGAGGAACAACTTCTAATTAGATGGCGTTGACAAAGAAGAAACAAAACTGCAGCAATGTAAAGCTAGTTTGAGCCAATAGATGAAAACTGTAACTTGGGGAGATATTTTGTCTTTTAATAATATAAGTGTAAGGTTGTAGCAGGATGACTGCACTGAATGAACTCTTAAAGTTAAACATTTCTTCTGCTGCACTCAGTCTGATATTCTGTCTTTTCTGAACCATGCCTACTTGCTTGCTCTGCAACATCTCCTGATGAGTCACCAACGCCGAACCCTGTTCATTTAAACAGCATTTAATAAACACTGTTAATTCATTTCAATTAATGTCATTAACATTAAATCCTGCCAGTTTGGCAGGTATAACCAGGCAAAAGGCCCTGGACCTAGCTGCACCAACTGTTTAATAAGCCTGAATTAAGAGAACTTTTGCACACAAAATTAAACCACTCCAACTATTTACATAGAAACTGCCAGATAAAAATGTGCTTAACTGAATCAGTTAATGCTAGCTGTTATCTAATAAACATGAACGAACCCAACAATCTACCAAAACTACTGTTATTTCATTAATATTTAATCAAATTAGCATTAGCATTAACTCAACAACCTAAAATTAGCTAACACGTGGCCTATTTAGAGTAGCTAATAAAACTAATATATATACCCTGTATAGCAAACCACTGACAAAGCTAACATTTAAGTGCTAATATCTGATCTTTTAAGTTAAAGCTAGTTCAAGTGGCTAACTTAGGTTAGCAACTTGCTATTATAGTAACTAATATGTAACTTGTTAGGAGCGAGCCAACTCAACAATCGGATAAATCTAATGCTAGCCTGCAAACATAAGACTTATTTAAAAGTGTGCTAACTCAACCAACTGACATGTGTCACAAGCTAATAGTGATAATAGTAAGCAACACTGCAAACAGACCTGGAGCACTGGTTTGTGGAGTCATGTTTTCAAAGCTTTTTTGCATTCATCATCCTAGCAATTTGAAACCAGATTGACGAGTGCAGGACAAGAAGCTACGCTCACTGACCTGTCAATGACAAAGTAACCCTCTTCGTAAGCATGCCTTCTGTTCTTCTGCTTTTTTACTCTAATTTGTGACCAAGAATTACAAAATAATCATCATATCATATTAAATAATACGTAAATCCCATAAAGGAAAGTGGTTAGTCAGGCTCAAGAGGCCTGGGGCTGTTTTCCCATAGATTTCAACAATGGATTAGAAACCAGAGGAGTCACACCCTGCTGGTTATTAGACAATGCAGATTCTTTTCACGTCTTTTTTAAATTTAACTTTATATAAAAGGCTACAGTTCACTGTCAACCCTGTGGCCCTTTGAAATGGATCCTTCACTGCCTTACTATGGTGTTCAAACTTCTTGGTATTTTTCAAATAATTAAATTTAGCAGCCAAATTCTCACATTTGGAAGAGCCGACAGACTGTCGCCTGCTGAAAGTGTCTTTTTTTTTTGTTAAGAAAAGGAGGGGGAGGACAGGTTATAAAGCAGTAAACGTTTAATTATTTGCGCAACAGGGAAATAAAACTGTGATAATAGTTCCAGATAATTAAGCTAAAGCCCAAAATTAGGTAGGAGCGCAAACATCCTAAACGCTGCATGAAGTCTGGCAGCTGAAAAAATAAATAAATAAATGACAATGTCATAGGGAAGATTAAGACTGGGTTAGATCAAAGTTTACATTTAGATTAGTGGTAATCACAGTGCACAGTTTCATGAAATGACCCTGTGTCTTCTTGCTGAAAAGGCACAACAAGCGCTGCGTAAAGCACAACATGGATGGCCTGTGGCACAGCTGGGGCGCTTCACTTATTGTAGGTTGTTAAAAACCATTTACAGAATAAAATTCAGGCAGTGTTTGAGGACATCAGCGTTTAAACATGAATTCTCGCAGTCTCAGTAAACACAGCGGGCAGATAAAGCTGAGCAGACCCAATTACCGAAGTGCATACTGGTAAGGGCAGTTTGATGAAGGCGCAGGGATCCTGATAACAACACAAAGGAAGTGCGATAAAGAAACAAAGAGGAAGGTAAATCCGCTCGTACAGGAACTTCTTGTGCTTTTGCAAAAGTGCACACTGCTAAAATACTCATATTCCTAAAATAAGTACCTAAATAAAGTCACTATCATGCATTCCGTGTTGCGCGAATCTCCGAGCACAATGCGCACGCAAAAGTGAGCAGACAAAGCCAAACAACGGGGATGCTGCTCCTACCTTTGCACGACAAAACAAAGCAATCCTCTCTCTCATGATAACTTGTTTCTTCCGTGTTTCGAACCCCTTAGACCAGGCTTCACTCACCAAATCACCGTTTTAAGAGATAAGAGGAAGAGAGACACGGCGCTTACCTTTTGTTAGTTCCTCTGTCTGCCTGATGTATGACGGCGGATGTCTGCTCTCCACCGCTCCTCTGTAGATTTAAGCAGGGCACCAGCAGCAGCAGCAGCAGAAGAGGTGGTTGCGAAATTGTTGGTACGCGCTTCGGCTTGTTTAGTGGGCGGCGTGGCTCTCCACTGTTTTCATCCCGTGTTTCCAACCAGCCCTCCCACTCCTTGCACTCACGCTGTACTCGCTCAGCCTCCTTCTCAAAGCGGATACGCCCTCTCACTGTCAGGGGAAGACAAAATAATGTGTATAAATAAATACATCACAGGCTGCAGGTATCAGAGTAAAACAGGCTGCGCTGCGATGTGATGCGGGTCCTGCTGCACTCCCGAGCTCCTCTGGGGCTCTAACTGCTCTGCAAAAGGCATGTGCGGTTTTAAAGTGGAAACAGATGCCCGGAGGAGGAGGAGGGGTACAGTCTGTCCTTTTTGACAAGTGCCATTCAGAAAAGCTGGGGTATGTCTACACCCCACGCAACCACCCCCCAGCTCCTTTCATGCCTTATTATATTAATGAATCCGAACCCTAGATACACAAAAACCCACGATGTTTGACCCAGTTTCACCTCTGGTCTCCCATCCAGTCCAGACTTATTTGTGCCCCCTTTTAAGCCCTAACAACCCCCGTGGTTACCCAAGTTCCTTTAACTTGGTTGTCCTACTTTTTAAGTGGCCTCCATTTTACATTTTAAGTGCCTGCCCAGTATCGCCCATTCACGCAGTCATTAATTTCAAGCTAAATCTCCTCCTATATCCATTTCTTCTTAAAGGATGTTCCCACTTGCATGCCATTTCCATGTATAGCTCCAGCAGGCGCCCTCCTCCAACAACAAGGAAGCTCAGGTCGTTTTCACGCCATATAAGGGCGGCTGTGAAATGTCATAAGTGAGTGAACCTCAACTATAAAAACACTGCCAGCTGTAGTGGCTGACATTCAACTACAAACTATGGATCTACCACCCACCTAAACACTAGGGCTGTTTTGACTGAGCATCCATGATCCCAGGGTTTTGTGGTTCAGATTCTTGTTTGTCATTATGATTTTTTTTATTCTTGATTCCTTTTCATGATAATTCTCTTCATGCACTGTAGGTTTTGGTCAAAGTGGTATTTTTAGTTCCCTCAGTGTTTCCCCGCCTGAATCATCTTTTCTGTGTGATCAGTATTTCTCTTTTACTTTCTTCCTGCTTCACTTTGAAAGTTTAGTTTCTTTCCATGTCCTGCTTTAGTTAAAAACACCAGTTCCAAAAAAGGAACAGTTTGCAAATATCATATTTTATTCACAAAATACAACATAGAGAACTTATTAAATGTTTAAACTAAGACATTAAAATATTAGCTTGTTTTGAATTTCATGGCGGTATCAGAACTCATGAATGTTGTAGCAGGGGAAGCAAAGGGTTGGAAATGTAAGTGATACTAAAATAAACAGCTGGAGGAATATTTTGCAACTAATTAGGTTAAATGGGAAGTGGTCAGTTACAGACGGAGTCTAAAAAGAGCATCTTTGAGAGGCAGAGTTTCTCAGAAGTAAAGATGGGCAGAGGTTTACAAAATCAGCAAAACTCCATCTACAAATTGTTGAATCAAGACTTTGAATGTCATCCAGAGAGAATATGAAGAAATCTCTGTGTGTAAGGGACAAGGTGGAAAATCAATATTGGATGCTAACAAACACTGCCGTGTTCTCTGCGCCAAAGCCCATTTACGTCTAGCAGCTGTTCAAAATGACCTTCTGTTTTTCAGAAAACTGTACAATTGATATGTACAATTTTTTGAAAATGTATTTTCAGAAAAATTAATCAAATGTGTTTATGAGATTTGCAAATCATCGTATTTGTTTTTAATTACATTTTGTTTTAGTGTCTCCTTGCTTTGAGATTTAACTTCTCTGTCTGAATATCTTCATCACTTTTACTTTTCATTCAGCTACTGCTTCCAATCTAACAATATAGATGTATTAATACAGTCCTGCCTCCATCTTTAGTGCATTGTCTGTTATTTTACCAGCCTGTGCTCCTTGTTTGTTTGTTTTTTGCCACTTCTTCTTCTTCTTTGTGGTTTTAATCAAGGATTGCTCTTTGTGTTTCCTTTTTGGAGTAGGTAGACGGTTCAACTTTATCGCATTCTGTAGATTGGGTCCTCTACACTCTACACCACCACATCATGGGATGTGCCAGCCTGGAAGCCCCACAACTCAAGGACCCAAAGGATTGGCTGCCCTGTCATATTATAGGCAGGATATGTTCACTGCCTGTCCTTCTGATGCCATGTCTACTGGAGCAAGCAAGCTGGAGGCAAGAGCCTGTAAGAAAGTTGGTCTCTGCGGGAGCATAAGGATTCCCAGATCGTGCTGAGGGAGATCGTTTTCTTTTCTAATTGGGAAAGATGAAACATTCTGCAGAAAGCCATGAAGAAACATTCAGAATTGCTTTGTTTCCTGTTGTGACACCTCCACACAAGGCTGCAGTGAGTCAAGCGTGCCTAAAATGCGAGCATTGAATGGTTATGGTTATGCACAAGCAATAACCAATAGATCTGTAATAATCATAGCTTTGGGTGGGTGCTTTTAATATTGTGGCTGATCAGTGTGTTGCAGTTTAAAAGAATAACAAAAGTCTCTTTTAAATAATTGGAGGGAAGGCTGTGGAATTTGGCTTTGAGTTTACTTTCAAGTGATGTCAATTTCATCATTAGACGGTGAGCACAAGGCTCGTGGGGATATCCATATGCCTGCTAGGCTTCTGTGACTGTGCAGATTTGTCCAATAACATTACAGTGCACCAGCTACACATGTATTCTAGGCAGCAGACTTTGTTGTGGACATGGACTGTAAGTGATACGATGGCCTGTTCTACTTGTTTGTAATCCACTGAGAGTATAAGCAGAGGCTCAAGTCAGACTTTTTACCCAGAATGTTTGAGTCTCAGTCCAGGTTTATACTTAAGTTTTAGTTTTGCCTTCCCACTTTTATTTTCTGTCACTGTTTGCTTAATTTTATGCAGTAAAACTATGATTATGATTATGGTTTGGATAAGCTCAAATTTCATTGCTTTCTTTCTCCAATTATGATTTTACTGTACCTGTAATTACACCCCCATCTGCACGTCATTTTCTATAAAATCCTTTGTTATCCCCATTTAATACTGATGAGAATGCAAATGACCTATAAATAGGCAAAGGAGTACATTTTAGTAACCATACAAATGGAAATGAAAACAACTGGCTTCTTAGCAGGCGCCTGATAGATTAAGCAGTAGGTGGGGGCCCACTGGTCACCAAACACCTCTATTGTTGCTAAACGACCCTGAGGCTAACCTAAACAGCCTAACTGTTGCTGTTGTTTACATATATATATTTGCTGTTTGTTGTATATATATAATTTTGCAGCAGGCGGTTCTGCTCACTAAAGTTGCCTTATTTGAACCAATTGGTACTCAGTCAAATAAAAGCAAAGATGCAGTAAAAACTTTTTTTAATCACAACACAAGGCACTCTAAGAGAGTAAAAGAGGTTTCTATTTAATATAATAGATTGCAGAAGATGAGAATATTGCCATATTCCCTCATAGGAAATTCAAAAACTACCATAATTGTTAAAGTCTGATCCTCTGAGAGTATTATGGGGGTATTATAACCACTTTCTGCCAGTGAAGGAGCTCTGATTTGCTTCAAAAGTGATTTCACCAGCATCAGATTGAACATTAGGATTAAATGTGATGAGTAATTAAAAGTAATGGCAAATGCAGCTCATAAGCGGACAGCTGAGGTAGATGCAGGGAAGTCTCTCAGTTAAATTATTAAAAGGGGGCCTTGGGATGCATTGAAAAAGATCTTAGATATACTGCATGTGTGAATGTGTGTGCCTAAGTTTCTTTGAAGCCACCTGTGATGCAGACCTAAGCCTCGGTCCCTCTAGAGTTCAATGACTGTATTGCTGCAGCCTTTAACACATTTTCTTTAATTATGGAGGATAAGGAGTTTGAATCTGTGATGCATCAAGACTCTGAAATGGCAACCTCCCCCTGGAGTCCACAAATGTCTGACAGAGCTTCGGGCTCCTGGGAAGTTTGGGAACTCTCATGCAAGATTGAGTTAATGAAAACAGATAGGACATCTGAAATGCTAATGCTGACTTTTTGGTGCCTAAATCTGGCTGCAGCCCATGGGACTCACTGGTTCAAATACATGAGTGAGCCTGTGATAGAGACGTGCACTTGTCACGGGAGAGCAAAGCTAAGCATTAGCTTACCCTCACTTAAATGCTGTCCATTCTGCTTTGCACTTACAAACAAAATGCTTGGCAGAAACCAAAAAATTGTCCTCAGGAGACCAACTTATAGAAGAGCGTTCACTTTACTCTGTCAGAGAGCAGTGAAGCTTTACGCTGCCCCAATTTCTTATCCTTTGTTCTACAAAAAATATACGAAGCTTGCTCTCCATTGACATGCACATTCGCTCTGTCCGCCCACATGCAGTTAATTAAAGGAACCACATGCACGGCTCAGCCAGCTTGTCAGACCTGCCAGTCATCAGCGCAGCGTGACAATGATCTGACCATCACTGGCTTAATTGGCATTCGGTAGACACGCTCCCCTCCTTACTGTAGGCTAAATAAACACACAGACAGGCAGGATGCAACCTTCAGTCTTCATCTCTCTTGATCGATAGCCCTGCAGCAGCTCACCGGACACGCGAGCAACCGCTGCGGGAGGATTCCTTAACCTGTAAACTTGGCTTAGAGAAAAACTGCACATGAATAGTGCAAATAAAGCTGGAGAGGCCAACTGAAAAGTTTTGGGAGTTCTTGTCTATTCAGAAAAAGAAATCAAATCACTGGATCAGGTTTAAAAGTTGAGAGCCTCAGCCAGCGCAGGAGACACATGGACAGAAACACATTCAACAAGCAAAGAGAAAAAGCTCTTAAGGTTCCTGGACACTGTCCGTGAGGTTAAACTACCCAGTTTGACTGATAAGATAAGACTGACGTGACTTGACTTGACTAACAGATGACACATCAGATCCCAGTCACAAAGACCTAGAGGCTGGTCTATGATCAACACAAAGTATTAATGGTCGATGGAGGTTGTTGGTGTCGCTAGGTCACAAAGAGGACAGTGCAGGACCAAGAGCCTCCTTTCATTGTTTTGGTCATTTGCACACATTTGCATGGAAGACATCAAGTTGTTAGCGAACACTCGCCAACTATTCTACTCTACTGTGCAAAGTGCAACATAAACAGGAAATAGAGCATTTGGCTTCACAGTAAAACTCTGCATTTTGAAAGATGTTGGTTGCAGTTGTGAGGTACAGTTTTTACTTTGAAAGAGAACCTTTTCCATTTCTGCTGTGCTCTTTTCTCATCTTTT